CGAGTCACCACCAATCTTTTTTATCTAGATGCGATTGACCATCCAAGGAATCTATCATTTTAAAGAACACCTAAGCCTAAGGTCCTTAAAAGAATATGTTCAGGTTTATTAACTAGAACAGAGTTTGGGAGTACAATTATGTGTGAGAAAGGTTGTAGCACCCTCACAACACCCATCGAATGATGGTACCAGCTTAATTTTATGTTATCCAATAAACCTTAAAAATTTATCAAGTAATTAATTATTGAAAATTATTCTCAATTGACTCTAATACTTTTAGTAGAAAATTGACAAAATTTTCTCACCTCAAGAATATGCAAGGAGACTACTGTTTCACTTGCAAAGGCTCTATCATCAGATTATTTATCATTAAAGAAAGTTCAAGAAACAAAAAGGAAAAGAAATAAAATGAAAAAAAAATGATTCAGCTTTAGATATAATTCCTTTTCTCTTCAAAAACTCATTGCTTTTGTACTAGAAAAATTGATATTTTCAATTTTTTTCCAAAATATTTTTTAGAAAACTTATTTTCAAAGAAAATTGATACTTTCAACTTTTTCTCGAAAATATTTTTTCTGAAAACTTATTTTAAAGGAAAATTGATATTTTTAACTTTTCCTCAAAAATATTTTTTTAGAAAACTTATTTTCAAGAAAAATTGATACTTTCAACTTTTCCTCAAAAATATTTTTTTAAAATTTTATTTAAAGAAAATCATTTAAAATAAATAAAATAAAATAAAGTAAAATAAAAATAAAATAAAATAAAATAAGGAATACTAAATAATTCTAATATAATCAATAAATAATAATAATAATAAATATATAAAAAAAAACCTTTGGAATGGCTCGGCTCGGCTGGAAAACAGCTCGGCTCAAGACAGAAAAGGCGGCTCGAAAACGCGACTCGAAAAAGTTGGCTCGATTCGACTCTGGGGATCGGTTAGCACACAGGTTAACGAATCAGGTCGCAATCAGGTCAGGTTAGCCCAAACAAAAACACGCGGATCCTAGTAATGTATTAACACTAAAACGACGTCGTTTCGCGCAGGTATAAAAGGCAAAGAACGGGTTTTTTTCTTCAGATGCTCCTTCCTCTTCTCTTTCTTCCCCTCAGCTTTCTCCTTATTCTCTCTACTCGAAAAACCAACCCAAAATCTGATTGAATTTCTATCAGATTCTAGAAAATAACACCAAAAACTTCAAAGTTGATCGAAAAACTCGTCAAAAAATTCAAGGTTCATCGAAAAATTTCGTCGGATTCTGAAAATTTTTTGGAAATTTTCTAGAAAAAACTTCAAAAAATTCGAAAAAAAATCTTCTAAAAATCTTAAACTGCCTTTAAACACCTTTCATTTCTGTTTCCTTTCTGTTGTGTTTTTCTCCCTATTTGTGTGTGTTCTTTCCCGTATGTTCCAACACTCATTTATAGAGATTGATCAAAAGAGTTTCTGATCAATTTCAATTCCTTCTGGGATTAGGATTCATTCTTTGAATCCAATCCAAACTCTTTCAATCCCTTGATTCACAACAAAACCTCCTTCTAGAACCAAAAATTATATCTATCAAATAATAATTCAAACAAAATTCAGAACAGATAAACCCAAAAAAAAATTATAATCATAATATATAAATATACATTGATAGATAAATAATAAAAATATATATTAATAAATAATAAAAACATATATATTAATAGATAAATAAAAAAAGATTAATAGATAAATAATAATAAAAATACATATTTATAAATAGATAAAAATAAAAAATAAAAATAAAAATAAACAAATGGACTTATCCATTTGAATCAGGTCCAATTGATCCGGGCTTGGACCAAATTGGATGTTTATAGATATAGAAACCTAAATAAGTGATTTTCTATACCAAATTGATGGAGTTGATTGTATTTGGTGTTTGTGTACCTTAAATGCTTATAAAGTCATTTTGGACTTTGTGCGTGTATAGATTTTTACTGCCTTGGTGTTATTTTCAATGTTGGATTGTTAATAGATGTCTTGGTGAGACAATGGTGTGTCCACTTTAAACCTGGTCGGGCTTTTAACATTTGCTTTGGACTTCCCTTCAACATACCTCCCCATGGTCTTTCCTTTCCTTTATCTCAACTATGAACATTGCCTTTTGGTGAATGAAATAATGCAGCCTGCTACTTGCTATATCCACAATTTAGTTTGCACATCCCTTTCTAGTGAATCTAATGGTATCATGACTTCAACTTGTTATACTAGCTCAGATTACTTTTGAATCTATAGTTGCAATGCCTTCTTTCTCAAACTTGTGCTATCTGTTTTCTGTTTCGAAGAATTTTCATCTTAAATTATCCTTGGATCTTTAGAACCATATGGATGCATGCTTTACATTTTCTCCATCCATGACTTTTTATTTTTTTGTCCATTGGGCATCTTGACTACAGTTTTTTGGAGTAAAACAACTAGAATCCGGTTTCTAGAATTATGTTATACTGGAAGTAATAGTCTATAACTCAATTGTGGTTGTCTACTTCATTTATTCAAGCATTTTACACATACAGCTCAACCCAATCTGGTGCCTGCATCAACACCACAAACCAAGTCCAGAGGGTCAAGGCTTTAGGTAGATGTCGAAGGAAATATCAGCAACCCCACGCTCTGGGCTTGTGGTGCTTTCATTTTGCATGAGATACAAATCCCAATCATTAGACCACATCATTTTATCAAATTTATAAAAATCAAACTAAAATGCTATAAACTCATGCGTTAATTGAGCCTATACCCCTCAATAAACTTTCAGCTAGCATGTTCTTATGTCTTAACGTACATGATTTCAATTTTCAAGTTACTAAATGCCATTTTGACTTGGCCTTGAGTAAGGTCATTTCTATTACCTTGCAGAGATGGCACCCCAACTACTTCTATTTAAAGCCCTTTTGGTTGGTATGCCTATAATTTTTGCATTGATTTCAACTCTTTTGTGGTCTTGCAATGCAAGCAAGTAGCCCTTTGATTTTATTTGTAACTAAAGTAAATAAATTTTTGAAAATGTTGAAAGAAACATGAATATATATTTTCTATTTGAATTTGTCTTAGTGATGGATAAATTGAATTTCTCTCTATCCCATTTTTCTTACAACAATCGCACATGAAACTAAAGAAGCTCAGCATGTAAATAACACACCTTGACTCATTAAGGCTTCGTTTTGGTAAACATTTTTACATTTTTCCTTTTGTGTTTAGTTTTCTATTCAAATTTTTTTTTCTTTCTATTTATTTTTTGCAAAATAGGTAAACAGCAAAAAATAAAAGCATTTACCAAATGGAGCCTAAATTTACTTTGTTTTGATCTACTTTTTGTAACTGATGAAAGTTTTATCGGCAGCCGCATTTGTCACTGTCATGATCATATGGTAGCCTTTCTTGTTTGTTAACTTCTTGTTGAAATATTTTGTTTTTAATGTATTCTGCAAACTAGGGCTGCAAGTAAAAGTTACTGATTCGAACTACATCTTTTGGAAATCGTATTTGTTAACCAATAACTGGCCGCAACTCAGATTATGCCTTCTTTCTTACTTGATGTTGCTGTTAGCATATGTAACTTTTGAACTCAGCAGCTGCTTTTTTTCCCCCATTTTTTGGCAGACTAAGATAAAGCGAAATATTTACGTTGGCAACTGAAATGTCCTGAAAATCATCACTGGACTCTAAATTATTCTCGATGTAATGGTGAATGCGATTCTCAAAGGGTATATCTACATTCGATTGCCACCATTTGAAGTAATAGTTTCTAGACTTCTGCTCTTTAATTTCATAACCATCACAAATTAAGTCCAATTTAGAAAAGAACTACTTAGATTGAGTTTTAGAATTCATGTCATCTATTCCTTGAATGGATGAGTACGGAACAGCAGGTTGAATGTTGCTATGATATTTGAATCTAAGAACTAAGAAGTACTGAGACACTGGATAGGAATCCATGAAGACAATTTTCCTTTCTTCTCGCAAACAATCATGATTACAAATCTGGTGTCCCATATCTAAGTTCTAAGCCTCTAAGGAGGAAAGTAAGAGTATTAAATACTTAGGAGCAATAATAGGTTAGAATAAATGATAGAGTAATTTCCCATAACCAGCTGGTGATTAGGTTTTCACAGTTTTTCCTGGAGAATTGTTCACTTTCCTTGTTATTAGTTGTGGAGATCGCAACTAATTTGGGAGATGCTGTCCATTTTGAACTGAAGATTTCACAGTTTTATCTCACAAACAATGCTTCATGAGTTTGAATTTAAGTTTTTATTTACTAATACCATAATAAATCCTTAGAATATCTCGACGTGGGATTGAGGTATTATGTCAATGGTGTCAATTATCTCGCTTCAGCTGATGATAGCAGGCCAAGGTATTTAGTGCTTTGTGCGTGCATTTCAATAGGTTCCAGGCTTCCTGCACAATTGTTTTCTTCTTGACCTTCCTTTTTATTTTCATTTAAGACAGATCCCATTCCCATGCATTATTGTAAAGTATATTGTCACTTCTGGAAGGAATTGCTTGTAGTGAACGGGGATTGTCATTAGAATTTAGCCAAATGAAGACTAATGTTTTCTTTATGTTGATGACAATTTAAGCATCTGTTTACTTTTTCTGATAACGATGTTTAGTATGATCATGACGCCCAGCCTTTATGGCATTGGTACTACTTTTGTTATGTGAATAACTCATCTTAATTGTTGTTATGAGAGTCTAGTTTCTGATGTTCAATGCTGTCTTAAATATGGTTCATGGAATTCCTACAGCTGTGCTATCAAGTAAAGAAATAAATAGGGCTACCTGCAATTTCCTCTGCCCTGTATTATGGCCATTTAATGCGCATTTATTCTTACCACACTCCCATTGTTACATTCAGCATGCGGCATAATTACTGATTATTCAGCAGCCCCATAAACATTCCTAGCATCCTCACGCGTAATTACTGATTATTCATGCAATTGCATGGTCTAGGACATCACTCTAATTGATGAAATTTAAAAGGGAATGCTAGAAGTGTTGTTTGATTTTATGAATAGAGATTATTTTTGATAATTTGAAACTATGGCTTATTTCTCCAGTCGACTATCGGTGTGGAAAGTGTGGAACTGAAACCAGAATCTTCTTTCCTTTCTGTTTCTTTAGCAAATAGAAGAAACACTAGGACAAATAGATGCTGATGCGTGGTAGGAGGAAATTGAAACAAATATCTTACATCTTATTTAACAATAAGAAAACATAAGCTTAACATTGAATTCTTGACAACGTATCTATTCAAATGAAAGCTGTAGCATCACAAATATCAGAAAATACTACAAACAAAAAATCTAAAGAGCACACGCTAGTGGATAACATGCTTCAAGAAACTGCTGAACCAAAGGCGTTGTTTAGGCCCTGGGCTTGAGATGGTCTTCATTGGCAAGCTTGAAGAGACGAGCCTGAGCTGCTGCAGCACTGTTTGAACCAAGTGCTGCTACAAAACTGTCCCTGACTTGCTTAGTTGAGAATGGGAACCTGTTATTCACCATAGAGTTCAGCAAGGAAGCTGTCCCTTCTCGGTAAAGTGCTCCAAGTCCATCGGTACGTGTGTTTGAAAGTGCTTGGGGCAAGCTCATTGTTGCTCCGAACCCAGGAATGCCGCTCACACCGGATGCATTGCCTACAGTGCCCCACCAACCAAGCAAACCCCATATCAATGATGGGTGACTCCTCCAGAAACTGAATGTAAAAAATATGGTTAGTGTCACTACTTCATGATGAAAATAAAAACGTGGAAGTTACACTGACTTACTCGCATGTACCATCAAAAGGTGGATTTGGAGCAGGAAAGAATGGAGGTGTGGGAATACTTGGAGTTCCTGGATCAATAATGGGAGTGGTTGGTGGGCTTGCGGTGACTGGTGTTGGAGGGCTGCCACCTCCATATGATGGAGGGCTACCACCTCCGTATGATGGAGGGCTGGCACCTCCATAAGTTGGAGGGGAGTGGTAATAACCACCATGTGAAGGAGGGTGTGAAGGTCCTGATGGAGTTGATGGTTCATGTGGCGGAGTTCCACAATTTCCACCTGAAGGCGTTGATGGTGTTGGAGTTGGGTGGTAGCCACCTCCATGTGATGGGGTTCCATGAGAGGGAGGTGAGCTACCATAGCTACCTTCTGAACCGTGTGATGGAGTTCCGGGTGAACCTGCACTTAGAACCATTGGACTCAGCATGCATGTTGTGGGATGACAAGTTAAGGAAGATAAAATAACAAAACGGAAACATCAGCTGTATGAACCGTATACGAAACAAGGCACATTTTGGTATTAACAGACTGACTGTTTTTAACATAACATTGGAGCAGCAATACCAAGTAGTTTCTTTCGATAAAATGTGAGTGCTAAGAGACAGTGAAACCTGAGGGGGGAGTTCCTGCGTGTGGGTCTGGAGCTGGATAGTAGTTCTTCTGCTCTTCAAAGGTAGAGGACATTACTGGAGCGACCAAGTTCTGGGAGAGCAAGCCAGCCACCAAAACCGACATGAACAAAGAAACCTGCTTGCTTCTTTCTCTCTCCATCTGTGTCTGGTATAGAAACACTCCAACAAGAAGAAAGACTGAAGATTAGAAGGTGTGTGGGTTCAACAAAATGAGGGGGTATATATAAATGGTTGGACAACGTGAAGTAAATAGAAGCAGGTGAAGCAGCATGAGGTTAGTTGATGACAGCAGGTGCATTTATAAATGTACTATTAATAACTTTGAATTGTTTAAACAATGCTTATCTGAAATGGTTTTCTGAGGAGGACATCAACTCATGAACATGTCAGTTACGCCCCTTCGGCCCTTCCTTTCCTGTCTTCTGTTTTTTAGACAGATTGATTTTAGGGCTAGCAGTGAATTATCATGAATCTTAACTGTGATGGTTGCATGAGGATCAGATTCTGATTTCGACAATTTCGATTTAGAATTACCTATGGGCTAGTATCTGATTACAAAAAATTTTTCACGAGATTCAAATGATGGACTATGCCTCAAAATTTTAAATATAATTTGATGATATATAAAAAAAAAATACAAAAATAATATATTTTAAAATTTTAATAAAAAGTATATATAAATTTGATAAAAATTCATAAATATATTTTTTATTTAATATGTTAATACAAATTATAATACGATAATTTTTATATTTTATAGATATATGATACAAAATAAATAGATATAAATACACACATATTTATATCGGGCCTAAATTATAATCAACTTTTAGGACAAAAGACTTTCTTGTTAATTTCACCCTCTGATATGCAAGAAAAGTCGTGGTCTTCACGTTTCAGCCTTAAGTTAATTGCCAAGTCGAAGTGGCAGGAAATTCAATTAAGTGGGATAAATGAAATGGGACCATCTTATTTGGTACAGCGAGATATATATAGGACCAATAGTGGGTTGGTATTCGCACGAGATTAATATTTCTTAAAAGTAGGATCTTTGTAAAGAATAGAATAGTCCCTTTTGGGTCCCTCTTATCTTATGGTTTGGCTACGTTTTATGACATCTTAATTTGACAAGGGATAGGAGTGCGGCTGATCGATAAACAAACCGAGCAATGAAATCAAATCATCAATGATTGCTGTGTGAAACAACTATTTTCCAACATAATAATCAAGTGTCTGTGACAATTGTTATCATGGTCGTTATAGTTTATACCGACGAAAGGATGGTGAAGTTTTTTTTTTTTTTTTTTAATTTAAAAGAGAGCATAATCCTTATAAAAGAAAAATAAGAAAAAATTTTGATTCAAAACCAAATATGTTCTCCTCAAATCTCTTTAACTACTAAATCAAAAAATTGGAAGACTGCAGTTTATTTATTTGAACATGATTAGTTCACATTGCTCCAACTCAATCTGCTCAAATAAAAAAAAATTCAGGCCTAGGTGGAGCCTGCTAGGATGCTCTTAATATGGCATGGTTGGTAGACATGGATATGATTCCAGGCTTCCTTGCCTAAAATTCTAGGCCATCATTTTCCCAGTTTCATTTCCATGACGAAGACCTCGTTGGGTTCTTAGATTTATAGTAGTAAATTGGCTTGTGATTTTACAATGGAATACTATGGAAATTTCTTCTTTAGATGAATCTTGTCTTTTTGTGAATTCTTCTGGTTGTAGTTGCAGTGGAAAGGACAGTGATCCCAACACTTGTACAACCTATAACCAGCAACAAGAAAAAGATCGAAGAGATAGTGGACATGAACATGATGAAATATAAATTCCAAACGCATGAAATGAGAGACCTGGCTAAGATGGAGAAATGGACCACAATCCAGCAAATAAAAATGGGGTGTTTTCTCAACTTAATGGCTGTGACAGAGAGGTAGGTGTGTGATAGCGCAAGATAATTAGAAGAGTAAAGACAGACAGCAAAAGTGGTGCCATTTAGAGGACTGTGGATTGAGCCCTTAAGAAACCTATTCTTTTGAGGCTGTTTGACCAAATTTTAACCATAGAAAGATATATAGGACAAATTACGGGAATAATCGAGACACTTCTGCGAGTTATTTGAGTTCCAGTTGATGAAATTCAAATTCAAACTAAAATTTTATTATTATTAAATTGAATTTAAATTCGAACTATTTAAATTAATATGTGAGTTAATTTAAATATTTAATTATTAATTTTGAGTGATTCACTAGTGTACTTAAATTTTTTATTAATAACATATGATTTTATGTTTAAAATATATATATATATATATATATATACCTAATCTAAAAATCCTAAATTATGGCTTCTCTCCCAATCTCCTTCCCACTGGGGGCGCCCCTTCCTCTCTCTGACGATCCCATTCCAATCGCCACCCACTAGTGCCCCTTTCTCTTTGTCTATCTCATCCCACCTAGTGGCACCCCTCTTCCACTCTCTCCCGATCCCGTCCCATCCAAGGACGCCCCCTTCCTCTCTTCCTTACGTCCCATCCAGCCATGCCCCCTTCCTCTCTTTCTCTACTCATCTTGTGGCGTAGCACATGCTACTTTTGAGGTCCATTGACCCACTCAGATTTAAAAAATTACAATTATACGTGTATATAATAGTAAATTTTGAATAATTTTTTATATTGGCCTCACTCAAATTCAATAAAAATATAGAGAAATTAAATAAATAATTTTTATTTTTATAAAGAAAATATTAATATCTATTCAAATAAGATAAAAGTATTTACATTTGTGTATAAATATAATCATAGTTTAAGCACTATAAGGAATGCCAGAATACACTCTCCAACGTTACTAAAAATAAAATAAATTATTAATATTTTATCACATTAACCTTTTATTTTATTATAATTAAAATTATTAACTTTTATTTTATTATAATTAAAATCTTAACATTATAAAATAATCAACTTTATGTTTATATCATATATGATTGCAAGAGATAATATCACATTGAAGAATTTTTTATTTTTGCCAATGAAGTAATTTGTTTATTCAAGTACATTTTTTTTAATATTTAAAATAATTGAATTGGAATCAAAAGTTTAATTCAGTTAGTTTATATAATCATCCATAAATGATGAAATTCAATAAGTTTGGGAATCAAATTCTAGTACTGCAACCCCTTCTTTTATCTCCAAACTCTTATCTCTTATGTACCAAAAAAATAATTGAATTTAATTCAAATTTTTTTTAATAATACAATGTAAAAAGTTCTTATGTATTTATATATTATGTGTTTATATAATATGATTTAGTATTGTAGACACTGTATTTAATTTAGGGTTTAAGTCTATTGGGCTCGATCTAAGTTCAAACCCAAATGTTCAATTGTTATATTTATTATATTTTATATTTTTATTTTTATTCTTATTCTTATATTTTTTAAGTGTATTTATTATTATTTCATAGTTATATTTATTCTTTTATTTCTTTTATTTATGTTTATTTTATCCATATATCTTTTTTTTATTTTACCCCATTTATCTTAATTTCATTTAATTTTATTTTTTTTTAGTTTATCTCATTTATTGTATTTGTTTGTCTCATTTATTTTTATTTCATAAAAAGGCAAAAAAAAAATAAAAGTATTAAATTAAAAAGGGTTTGGATATAGTTTGGGTTATCAAAATTGAAAGCAGATTAGGATTAGGATTTGATTTCAAGATAAAATTAAGCTTGTGATAATTCAATTTTTAAAATTAGTAATCCTAGATTAGTTGAAATTGTTATTGGTTTTCCCTCTATAAATAACTAGGGATTTAACACAACACAGCAAAATACAGTGGGAAAAGAAGAATGAAAATTATAGTGTAAAGCAGAGTGGCGATTTTCTTAGTTGTGAGAGAGTTTTTTAAGATTGTTTTCAAGAGATTGGAGAGAATTAAAAGAAGGAACAATATAGAAAGGTCAAATTTTGCAATAAATTTTTTTGCATTTTTTTCTAAAAATTTTCTAAAAAGTTTTCAATTTTTCAATCTAAATTTTCAATGATATTCAAGTTTATTGGCGAAATTCCAATGAACCTCCTCAATTTTAAGCGACCATTCTAGAACTTAGCAACCAAACTCAGTTCTGACCAAGCTCTGGAGATGTTCTGGTGACTAATCCTAAATTCTAGCAAGGTTTTGGCGATTGACAATTTTTTTATGAACATATGCAGAATCCAGCCACTAGTTTTTGTTTCAAGAGAGAAAAGCTGAAGAATAAAGAAAGAGGATAGAAAAATTATGAGAAAAGAAAAAAGACATTTGGCTTTACATATCAATAATTAAACAACGATGTTTTAAGAGTTAAAATCCAAAGGATTAGCACATTTTGTCGAGTTTTACCTGACTTATTCCGCATGACTCGATAACTCACATCATCTACTGAAACTAAAGCCAAGTCGTTTCATAGCCAAGCTAAACATTGTGTCTAAAGTCGAGCTATTTTGAAGCCAAGTCGAGCCGACTCACTTTTTGGTAATTTTTATTTTATTTTATCTAAATGTTTTTTATTTTAATTGATTTTTATTAAAAAAGAAGAGGGAATTTTTAAAATAAACTCATGATTCTTACAAATTATTAGAGAAACTTCATAGGTTAAAAATTATTTCAAAATTATAAGTTCTACCAAACCATTGAAAAATTTTATAATAAGATTTTAAAAATATAAATTTTCAATCCTGCCAAACTATTGAAAAATTTAAATATCTAAATTAAGTCTTACCAAATAATTGGTGAACTTAATAAATTTTTTATGAAAAATAAAGTTTTCAATCTGTCAAATTATTGGAGGATTTAAATCTTGAATTATATCTTTCTAAACTATTGAAAGATTTAATCATTTTTTAAGACAAATTTATAAATGAATTTTCAAATAAAATTCCATCATACGATTGGAGGATATGCATCAGAATAAAATTTTGCCAAATTATTAAAGGATTTTATTGATTTTTTTAAAATAATTAAATTCCAAACAAAATGCATTAACGAATCCAACAATGAAGCTTTTTCAGCAAGGGACATTAGTTTTCATGAATACTTCTAAGGTGAAAAAATTCTCTTAAATTATTACCAAACTATTGGGGTAATTTTAAGATTAATTTTTAGTATTAAATTTACTCGATATGATTATAAAAATATTTGCAGGCTTTGAATAATACAAAATCAGCTAGTATGATCCTTCATATGGGTGTTATGAAAGTGCTATTGCATTTCTCACACGTAATCGCATTTTCAAATCTAGTTATGGTTTTGTATATTAGAATTTACCTTTTAAAGATACCTAAGTCAAGCTTAGAACTTCTCTTTAAAATGAAATAAATTTAATTAGGTGGCCAAT